TTTGTAGATTTGCAGGCAGGTGTCCAAATCTCTCTAGCGCAAAAGGCGCCGACGCTCGGTAGGGCTCAAAAAATGTCTCAGAAACATCTCACAAAATTTTACACATTTTCTTTCATATCTTCATACATGTTAAGAATTTGTTAAAACATATAGAAGAAAAGTTGTGCAGAATGATACGACCTTTCATTTGATATCAAGAAAAAGGGGCTGACCCCTCAAATTAGGGGCTCAGAGGGGCCAAAAATCTTTCATCTTTTACTTTTTAACGATCAATAATTTGTAATACATTACTGAAGCAAAGATGCTTATCTTAACGATTTACATCAATATATGATAAGATTCTGATCATATGTTACGTAATAAGGGGTCACAAGGGGCCAGAATGCTAAATCTTTGACGCTTTATATCTCGAAAAGGGAGAATATTTTGATAAGCAATACTGAACAAAAGATGGTCAGAATAATGTTCTAAACAAGATGTACCCTTTCAATTTTTGTCAAACGGCCCCATTAAGGACTTGGAGGGGTGGCCCCTTAATATTTCCATTCAGCATATCTCCACAACGAAAAGAAATCTCTGAATAGTTGTTGAACAAAAAGTCTTCAAAATCACAAGACCTTTCATTTGATATCAAGAAAAAGGGGCTGAATCCTCAAATTAGGGGCTCAGAGGGGCAAAAAGTCTTTCATCTATAACTCTTTAACGATCAATAATTTGTAATACATTATTGAAGCAAAGATGCTTATCTTAACGATTTACAACAATATATGATAAGATTCTGATCATATGTTACGTAATAAGGGGTCACAAGGGGCCAGAATGCTAAATCTTTGACGCTTTATATCTGGAAAAGGGAGAATATTTTGATAAGCAATACTGAACAAAAGATGGTCAGAATAATGTTCTAAACAAGACGCACCCTTTCAATTTTTGTCAAACGGCCCCATTAAGGACTTGGAGGAATGGCCCCTTAATATTTCCATTCAGCATATCTCCACAACGAAAAGAAATCTCTGAATAGTTGTTGAACAAAAAGTCTTCAAAATCACAAGACCTTTCATTTGATATCAAGAAAAAGGGGCTGGCCCCTCAAATTAGGGGCTCAGGGGGGCCAAAAGTCTTTCATCTATAACTCTTTAACGATCAATAATTTGTAATACATTACTGAAGCAAAGATGCTTATCTTAACGATTTACAACAATATATGATAAGATTCTGATCATATGTTACGTAATAAGGGGTCACAAGGGGCCAGAATTCTAAATCTTTGACGCTTTATATCTCGAAAAGGGAGAATATTTTGATAAGCAATACTGAACAAAAGATGGTCAGAATAATGTTCTAAACAAGATGTACCCTTTCAATTTTTGTCAAACGGCCCCATTAAGGACTTGGAGGGGTGGCCCCTTAATATTTCCATTCAGCGTATCTCCACAACGAAAAGAAATCTCTGAATAGTTGTTGAACAAAAAGTCTTCAAAATCACAAGACCTTTCATTTGATATCAAGAAAAAGGGGCTGACCCCTCAAATTAGGGGCTAAGAGGGGCCAAAAGTCTTTCATCTATAACTCTTTAACGATCAATAATTTGTAATACATTATTGAAGCAAAGATGCTTATCTTAACGATTTACAACAATATATGATAAGATTCTGATCATATGTTACGTAATAAGGGGTCACAAGGGGCCAGAATGCTAAATCTTTGACGCTTTATATCTCGAAAAGGGAGAATATTTTGATAAGCAATACTGAACAAAAGATGGTCAGAATAATGTTCTAAACAATATGCACTCTTTTAAGTTTTGTCAAACGGCCCCATTAAGGACTTGGAGGGGTGGCCCCTAAATATTTCCATTCAGCATATCTCCACAACGAAAAGAAATCTCTGAATAGTTGTTGAACAAAAAGTCCTTAAAATCACAAGACCTTTCATTTGGTATCAAGAAAAAGGGGCTGACCCCTCAGATTAGGGGCTCAGAGGGGCAAAAAGTCTTTCATCTATAACTCTTTAACGATCAATAATTTGTAATACATTACTGAAGCAAAGATGCTTATCTTAACGATTTACATCAATATATGATAAGATTCTGATCATATGTTACGTAATAAGGGGTCACAAGGGGCCAGAATGCTAAATCTTTGACGCTTTATATCTCGAAAAGGAAGAATATTTTGATAAGCAATACTGAACAAAAGATGGTCAGAATAATGTTCTAAACAATATGCACTCTTTTAAGTTTTGTCAAACGGCCCCATTAAGGACTTGGAGGGGTGGCCCCTAAATATTTCCATTCAGCATATCTCCACAACGAAAAGAAATCTCTGAATAGTTGTTGAACAAAAAGTCTTCAAAATCACAAGACCTTTCATTTGATATCAAGAATAAGGGACTGACCCCTCAAATTAGGGGCTAAGAGGGGCCAAAAGTCTTTCATCTATAATTCTTTAACGATCAATAATTTGTAATTCATTTCTGAAGCAAAGATGCTTATCTTAATGATTTACAACAATATATAAGATTCTGATCATGTTACATAATAAGGGGTCACAAGGGGCCAGAATGCTAAATCTTTGACGCTTTATATCTCCAAAAGGGAGAATATTTTAATAAGCAATACTGAACAAAAGATGGTCAGAATAAGGTTCTAAACAATATGAACCCTTTCAATTTTTGTCAAACGGCCCCATTAAGGACTTGGAGGGGTGGCCCCTAAATATTTCCATTCAGCATATCTCCTCAACGAAAAGAAATCTCTGAATATTTCTTGAACAAAACGTTTTCAAAATCACAAGACCTTTCAATTGATATCAAGAAAATGGGGCTGACCCCTCAAACTAGGGGCTGAGAGGGGCCAAAAGCATGTCATCTAGAGCTTTTTTAATAATGTTATATAAATCAAAAGAATGAAATCTAATTAGGGAAGTCTATATATTATTATCTTTTAACAAAGATCATAGTCAAAATCGTATCTCATCTTATCGAAAAATCGGACGGAAGACCTACTCGTTGCTCGCAACGAGATCTCATCTAGTTATTATTATTATTCTTACCGATTTTGTGCACGCAAGTTCTCGGTAACGTCTTGGCCGATTTTCATGAAACTTTCAGATCTGATAGGTACAGTGCTGCTATCCTATAAGTTGACAATCCTATCCTATCCTATCGTGAATCCTGCATCCATAATCCTATCCTGTGATTACAGTCTAATCCTATCCTATCCTATCCTGCTACTTGCAGTTTTTCAATATTTAGGAGTTAATTTGACAAAACGAAAAAAATAGTAATATGACCATCAACTAAAAATCAGTAATTGTTTTGTACCTTGTTTATGATTTGATGGAGGAAAACAAATCGAGATCGACATCCATTAATTCCCAACACCTCGTGCACGCATAAATTTTTGAGAATCCAGTTCAAATGTAAACAAAAGGATTCTAAAAAGCACAGGAAAATGTTGATTTAACGAATATGTAAAGAAAGTCGGTATTCAGATATATTATAGAAAAAATATAATCAGACTTTTTTAATATAGTTTTACCTACTGACAATGATCTAGAGACGTATATATTGCTTCTTTCCGAATTTATACATTACGAAAAATAAATGGGATTGAAAAAAAAGTAACAATGAAGACTTCAGATACGTTTCTTATGTTATAATTAAGTATGGGGTCGATCCAAGTCAAAATTTATTAATAAGCTCATTATAAGAATCAGACTACGATTGTCAAAACCTTCGTGCGGCACAGGTGCACTGTACAATAACCGAACCCGTGAAAAATACAACTTTTCTACACATAAATAAAGGATGAAAAAAGTCGGATGTATTTGATGTTTAAACAGCTATATGATCTTATAAAGTTCTCTCATGTAAAATTTATACAAAAAATTATTTTCCCCTAAACTTAGAACCATTAAAAAAAGATCATGATAAAGATCTAAATGCATCTGTATTGGATTTTATCCATACTGATGTAAAACTAAAAAAGAAAATATGACAAGACCATAAACTGAGAACAGACAAATCAAATTTTAGATCTGAAATATCTTGATCTTTATTTATAAAACATTTCAAAATATTGTCTATATAATCATGGTAATATTTAAATTAAAAATGCATGATAAAAATTTTATTTCATTTTCATTTCTTTTTAAAGTTATTCTTATATGAAATGTTCAGTTTCATCATGCATTTGTTTGTGAATATCATACAAACATGTAACATCTTTTAAATTAACATGTTTGTTAAATAAAAATCAAGTTATTCAACATGTTAAATGTCTAAATTTCACTTCAGTTTAATTGTTCTCAGTTTATAGTCCTGGGGCCAGTCCATGACTGGAATCCAGACATCCAAATATTTTGAGTGTCCTACTGCTGTCAGCAGATTGTTGATGAACAGTTGGTCTGAGTGCCATATCTCAGTTACCATTTGTATGTGTGATAATTTAATCAAGTTATGTTTTAACTTCACAGAAAAATTTCCATAAATCTTCACGGTCAGATCAGATAGATGGACAGCAATAATTATTGCAGTTAAGACACATTTTCCTTAGATTCAATGTACTAGAAGCCACAGTAGTTATTCAGAACCCCTATTTAAGTAAATCTTGTTTCTGACCTTGACATTTGATCTTAATTGTTATTCATGGTCCAAATGAGGAATAAACACACATATTGCATGATTAAGTTCACAATATTTATTCAAGGTAATTGCTTTTTCAGTATATATATTTTTCCTGGACCAAGTAAATCTCATATACAATTCACATGTACATGATGTACAATAAATTAATGTGCCATTATGAGACAAATTCATCAAAGTACACATGTATTTCAATGCCAAGCTTATAGATACAGGTGATACATGTACATTTAGTTTGTTTAAGTTCAAGTTTATCATTTGCATAATGTTTTAACTGCATAGCATTTGGCATGCTTGTCTGTCGATCCAAGTCGATTTCAAATATCAAATTATTGTTTACTTCTGGGTGTCAAAAAGCTAGTCATCAAGTAACTGAACAGTTTCACAAATTTCAAGGCACAAAAACAAATACTTCACACACTGATATCCTTAATAAAAACACCAGGATTTCAGACTCTAGGGGGCTCTTGGAAAGTAGTATAAACAGCTTTCATTATTTATTCCAGCAGCAGATGAGATGAACTGCAATGTGTAAAACTGCAAATATGCAGGATTGTCCTGAAAAATAAACATTATATGCATGTAAATTGTACAATTTTTACATATATACTATACATAAAAACTGTATTTTTATAATGATTATCTTTCTCATTTCATCTACAATTGGCTGGATTTCACTTATTTTCTCTCCGAAAATAATGAATTCAAAGAAATCAAGCAAAATCCAATCTTACACTGCAACTTCATAGTCATATCTTAATTAAATAATCATAATTTACTTGTAGATTGTATTTGTTTCACCTTGACAACTTGTTAACAGGTATTGTGGGTTTTTTTTTTCTTTATTTTCTGTTTTTTTTATCTATTTTTGTTTGTTTATTTTCTTTTTGACATAAAATTTGAATATCAATAAATATGAATATACATGTAACATGACATGAATAATTACACATTGTTTCCAGTTTTACTCTCAACTTTTTAAACAGAAGAAAATCACTTATTCGGAAAATCTGCGAAACACTTCATCTAAATTCAGATAATGCTTTGTATGTATTTTACTGATACCCATGCATAAATAATCTAAACATACCTTAGTCCTATTTTTAAAATGTAGAATCTTGTTTATTGTTATATGGGCAGACAAAGTCAGGAACCATTTCTCTGCAATGAAGTATTATTAATGATTATTTATTAATTCACTACTCAGAATATGTCATACATATGTAAACATATACTTAGTAAGTGCTCAGGATATACATGTGTAACAGGAAGAGAGAAAATGTATGGCTGGACCGGAAATCGAACCCAGGACCCCTGCATCACTAGTCACGTGCTCTACTGACTGAGCTACCCAGGCTGATATCCATGGCCCAAACCATTACATCCCTCCCTCCTTAAATTGTCTTGGCTCTTGAAGACCCAACCCAAGTTCTTATTGCCCCTGGCAGGACTTTCACCTGCAAGTCCAGGGGTGGTCAATGGCACCATGTCTGTAACAGGAAGGGAGAAAATGTATGACTTGACCGGGAAATGAACCTGGGACACCTGCATCACTAGTCAGGTGCTCTACCAACTGAGCTACCAAGACTGATATCCATGGCCCAAACCATTACAAATGTACATGATGGACTTTTAATACCATTTAAACAGTAGCATAAGACATGCAAGAACTGAATATGAATTATTATAATTGCACTCAAATAAAAACATTAAAAATGTTTTAAATTCATAGTAAGTAAATGATATAACAGTTACAAACCGAAAAAAGGATAATACATCTTACTGTTTTAGGACACATTGAATCATGTGACAGAATATAATTTGTAAATTTTTACCCCCCTCCTCCCCACACATACACTCTACTTCTTTCTTTTTTTTACACCTGCTTTTTGTCTATAAGTTTATTACAATAGAATAAAATGTTGTTCAACCATTAGGACATAGTTTAAAGGGGAAGTATAAACATGCACACAAGGCATGTAACGTGCGTAGTGTACTTACATGTATACCTGACTGCGATGTCCACCGTTGACGGTTCGAGTACAGGCACACATAGGATTATCCAGACAAACAAAGCACATTTAACTCAGAAAGATGTCACTGAACTATAACACAAGCAGAAACTGGCTGAATAATCCAAACATGCTGAAGAAAATTAGGTCTATTGACGTTCAAACTCTTCGTTGTTTACATGCGAAGATTCTTCCGGTCATCGTGCACGGTTATATCGTACGTTATGTTACTCGAGTTAAAAAAAAAGTGTGTTAAAATTAAAACAAAAATGTTTATTTTCATTTGTAATTTTATAAATATTTCTTTTGTAAAGGTTTTCAAAACTATTCCGTTTTGACAATTAATTCTGAAATATGAATCAACCCGTACTCGAATCTGATTGGCTGTAGGATATAGGATGGGATAGGATAGGATTGGATTAACTACTATATGTTTCTATCGTGAATCCTCAATCCTGCATCCTATCCAAACCCATCCCATGTCAACTTGTAGGATAGCAGCACTGTATTGATCTGAACCTTATTGGAAATTTTTTTCGTTGATGACGTCACTTTCCATCTCGAGTTATTTAGGATTTTCTGATTTTCAGAGGGTCGGCTTGTCCTGGAAACTCCTCCGAAACGACTTAAGATATTGAGTCAAGATTTTCAGTGAAAGTAGGAAAAGGTTTGTAGATTTGCAGGCAGGTGTCCAAATCTCTCTAGCGCAAAAGGCGCCGAAGCTCGGTAGGGCTCAAAAAATGTCTCAGAAACATCTCACAAAATTTTACACCTTTTCTTTCATATCTTCATACAAGTTCAGAATTTGTTAAAACATATAGAAGAAAAGTTGTGCAGAATGATACGACCTTTCATTTGATATCACGAAAAAAGGGCTGGCCCCTCAAATAAGGGTCTCAGAGGCACCAAAAGTCTTTCATCGTTAACTCTTTTACGATCAATAATTTGTAATACATTATTGAAGCAAAGATGCTTATCTTAACGATTTACATCAATATATAATAAGATTCTGATCATATGTTACGTAATAAGGGGTCACAAGGGGCCAGAATGCTAAATCTTTGACGCTTTATATCTGGAAAAGGGGGAATATTTTGATAAGCAATACTGAACAAAAGATGGTCAGAATAATGTTTTAAACAATATGCAACCTTTCAATTTTTGTCAAACGGCCCCATTAAGGACTTGGAGGGGTGGCCCCTAAATATTTCCATTCAGCATATCTCTACAACGAAAAGAAATCTCTGAATAGTTGTTGAACAAAAAGTCTTCAAAATCACAAGACCTTTCATTTGATATCAAGAATAAGGGGCTGGCCCCTCAAATTAGGGGCTCAGAGGCGCCAAAAGTCTTTCATCGTTAACTCTTTAACGATCAATAATTTGAAATTCATTACTGAAGCAAAGATGCTTATCTTAACGATTTACATCAATATATGATAAGATTCTGATCATATGTTACGTAATAAGGGGTCACAAGGGGCCAGAATGCTAAATCTTTGACGCTTTATATCTCGAAATGGGAGAATATTTTGATAAGCAATACTGAACAAAAGATGGTCAGAATAATGTTCTAAACAATATGCAACCTTTCAATTTTTGTCAAACGGCCCCATTAAGGACTTGGAGGGGTGGCCCCTAAATATTTTCATTCAGCATATCTCCACAACGAAAAGAAATCTCTGAATAGTTGTTGAACAAAAAGTCTTCAAAATCACAAGACCTTTCATTTGATATCAAGAAAAAAAGGGGCTGGCCCCTCAAATTAGGGGCTCAGAGGCACCAAAAGTCTTTCATCGTTAACTCTTTTACGATCAATTATTTGAAATTCATTACTGAAGCAAAGTTGCTTATCTTAACGATTTACATCAATATATGATAAGATTCTGATCATATGTTACATAATAAGGGGTCACAAGGGGCCAGAATGCTAAATCTTTGACGCTTTATATCTGGAAAAGGGGGAATATTTTGAAAAGCAATACTGAACAAAAGATGGTCAGAATAATGTTCTAAACAATATGCACCCTTTCAATTTTTGTCAAACAGCCCCATTAAGGACTTGGAGGGGTGACCCCTAAATATTTCCATTCAGCATATCTCCACAACCCAAGGAAATCTCTGAATAGTTGCTGAACAAAAAGTCTTCAAAATCACAAGATCTTTCATTTGATATGAAGAAAAAGGGGCTGACCCCTCAAACTAGGGGTTCAGAAGGGCCAAAAGCAATTCATCGATAGCTCTTTGATAATGTATATAAATCAGAGGATTGAAATCTAATTAGGGAAGTCTATATCTATTATTACCTTTTAACCAAGATCATAGTCAAAATCATATCTCATCTTATCGAAAAATTGGACGGAAGACCTACTCGTTGCTCGCAACGAGATCTCATCTAGTTATGTTCCCCAAACGAAGTTTGGGAACATATTGTTTTTACTCTGTTTCTTCTTATTATTATTATTATTAAGGTCTTCCGTCTCCAACGGAAGACCTTATTGTTTTCGTTCGGTTTCTTTTTCCCTATTATTATTATTATTAGGGTCTTCCGTCTCCAACGGAAGACCCTTCTATTATTCTATTGTTTCTTTTTCACTATTATTATTATTATTTTTTTCTGTCCAAATTTTGTGCAGACGATTTCTCAGAGATGGTTGGATTGATTCACTTGAAATTTTCAGAGATAATGTATCATGATGTAAACCTAATACGTTTTCTTTAATTTTTGGAAATTCACTTCCGGTCGGAAGTTATCGCCCTTTAATCGAATTTTTAGTGACCATTTTGTCTACACAAAAACTCAAAAATGACAAAAGCTAGAGCGCTGAAATTTTCAGTGATAATAGAGGACATGTTCTAGTTGTGCACCTCAGTTTTCAAATTTCCTGGAAGTGCCTAGTATGGAAGCTCGGTAGGGATCAAAATTTAGGACATGAATCAGGAGTGAATTTTCGAGACATTTTTTATCATATCTTCAAAACTATAAATATTTTCTTAAAACATATTGAACAGAAATTGTGTAGAATAATAAGATCTTTTTTATGATATCAAGAAAAAAGGGCTGACTCATCACATTAGGGGCCAAGAGGGGCCAAAAGTCTTAAATCCATAAATCTTAATCGATCGATATTTTGATATACATTACTAAGCAAAAATGTTTATCTGAACAATCTACAACTATATATTATGATAAAAATCTCATATGTTACATAATTAGGGGCCATAAGGGGCCAGAATGCTAAATCTTTGACGCTTTATATCTCGAAAGTGGGAAATATTTTGATAAGCAATATTGAACAAAAGATGTTCAAAATAAGGTTCTAAACAATATGCAACGTTTCATTTTTCTCTTTACGTCCCCATTAAGGAATTAAAGGGCCAGCCCCTAAATATTTCTTTTGCATTTATCTCGGAAACAAAAAAAAAAAATTCTGAATAGTTGTTAAACAAAATGTGTTCAAAATTATAAGAGCTTTAATGTAATATCAAGAAAAAGAGGCTGGCCCCTCAAAATCGGGGCCGGTAGGGGCCGAAAGTCTTTCATCAATAACTCTTTAACGATCAATATTTTGCGAACTATTACTGCAGCAAAAATGTTTATCTGAGCAAACTACAACCATATATTATGTTATTTACATCATATGTTACATAATTAGGGGTCGTGAGGGGCCGAAATACTAAATCTTTGACGCTTTATATCTCGAAAGTGGGAAATATTTTGTTAAGCAATATTGAATAAAAGATATTCACAATAATGTTCTGAACAATATGTAACCTTTCAATATTTGCTAAACGTCTCCATTAAGGAGTTGAAGGGCCAGCCCCTAAATATTTCTTTTGCATACATCTCGGAAAGAAAAAGTATTTCTGAATAGTTGTTGAACAAAAAGTGTTCAAAATCATAAGAGCTTTAAGGTGATATCAAGAAAAAGGGGCTGGCCCCTCAAAATAAGGGGTGATTGGGACCGAAAGTCTTTCATCAATAACTCTTAAACGATCAATATTTTGTAATACATTACTGAGGCAAAATAGATCATCTTCACTTTCCTTAACTATACAACATGTTGTTGGCATCATATGTTACGTTATAAGGGGACATTAGGGGCCAGAATGCTAAATCTTTGACGCTTTATATCTCGAAAGTGGGAAATATTTTGATAAGCAATATTGAATGAAAGATGTTCACAATTATTTTCTGAACAATATGTAACCTTCAACTTTTGCTAAACGTCTCCATTAAGGAGTTGAAGGGCCGGCCCCTAAATATTTCTTTTGCATATATCTCGGAAACGAAAAAGAATTTCTGAATAGTTGTTGAACAAAAAGTGTTCAAAATCATAAGAGCTTTAAGGTGATATCAAGAAAAAGGGACTGGCCCCTCAAAATAAGGGCCGATAGGGGCCAAACGTCTCTCATCAATAACTCTTAAACGATCAATATTTTGTAATACATTACTAAGGCAAAATAGATCATCTTCACACTCCTTAACTATATAACATGTTGTTAGCATCATATGTTATGTTATAAGGGGACATTAGGGGCCAGAATGCTAAATTTTTGACGCTTTATATCTCGAAAGTGGGAAATATTTTGATAAGCAATATTGAATGAAAGATGTTCACAATAATGTTCTGAACAATATGTTACCTTTAAATTTTTGCTAAACGTTCCCGTTAAGGAATTGAAGGGCCGGCCCCTATTTTTTCTTTTGCATATATCTCGGAAACGAAAAAGAATTTCTGAATAGTTGTTGAACAAAAAGTGTAGTAGGGGCCAAGACGGGCCGAAAGCCTTTAATCTATGATCTTTAATGATCAATATTTTGTTATAGATTACTGAAGCAAAATTGGTCGTCTTAACAATTTATTTATATCATTATATTTGAACGAAAGTCTCAGTCAAATTCTTTTCACATCTTATCAAAAATCGGACGGAAGACCCACTCGTTGCTCGCAACGAGATCGCATCTAGTTATTATTATTATTATTCTTACCGATTTTGTGCACGCGAGTTCTCGAAAACGTCTTGGCCGATTTTCAAGAAATTTTCAGATCTGATAGGTATTGATCTGAACCTTATTGGAAATTTTTTTCTTTGATGACGTCACTTTCTATCTCGAGATATTTAG